TTGTTCCATATACGTCGGCCATTTTCCTGACGCCACGTTAAATTAGCTTAAATCTCCGAAATTCTTCGCCATCATTTGACATTTTTTAAAAATAGTCTGCCCACAAGAAATGTTATATAGTTATATAGATTTACAATTTAATAATAATAATAATAATAGTTTATACGGCATGGCACGCTTACTCCTTTGATCACAACGACGAACAACAACGCACTTCGTATTTTACCTTTTTTACCTATTTCTTTATACAGGGTTGCCATGATCGAATATACTACATTCCCAAACAATTTGCTTGGGAAAGAATTTGTGCAAAAGTGGGGAAAAAAACTCCCATTCCCATATTATTCAGAATAGCAAACTTGGAAATATGGAACAAACGCCCATTCCCATGCAATTCAGAATAGGGGTGATTAACTATTTAATTTATACAAAATGTAATTTGCTTGCATTATGTACACATATGCAAGATTTACTATTTGCCAAAAAAGAAAATTTGACAGATTGCAACAGTGACGCCAATGTCTCGCTTAGCGGATATAGGCCAGCATGCATTCCTTTTAATTCTGTATTCAAAGAATTGGAATTTAAAAATAAAACACTGACATAAGTAAATTTTTGTAGGTACTCTCGATGCAGAGAGAAAAAAGCAAGTTGTTTCACGGATTTTTTAGATGTTGTAAATGCAGCAACAGTTTCTTCTGAAGATTCGAGCAATAGTGAAGAAGAGCAGGTAAAATGTAAAAACTTTGAAGCAACTATAGAATCCATGAGCAAAATAGATTTTAAAAATCACTTCAGATTACGACGAAATACAGCGGAAGTAAATATATGTTGAGGTATCCGTGATTAAATTACAAATTTAATATATTTCTATTGTGCTTCTCAGAATCGGAGTATTTGTCTGATACAGATTGTAGTGGTATTAAATGTGTAAGCAGAAAGTCTGTCTAAATATATCTTTGATACGTTGGTAATATGATAACTTATAGCCAATTAGGAAATCTCTTTAAAGTCTCAGTTCCTGCGGCATGTTCAACAATGAAAACTGTTACTAAGTTTTTGATAAAATAAAATAAATAGTATAAATTGTTATGTTTTGATAATTAGTAGTCAAGTGTTATGTTTTGACAATCAGCAAAAATAACATAATACAAGCAAATTACGTTCTGTATAAAAATAAATAATTAACATAGATTCAAAATTTAAAAAGATTATAAATAACCCACAAGCTAAGGCTTTAAATTTTTTATATTTCGTTTAAGATTTGGAAATTTATTGTTAATTTCTTATGTTAAGAAGGAATCAATAAAAAATGAAATAAAAAAAAAATGGCTCAAAATTAAAATGAATACAAAATTAAGAATTATGGGAAAAATGCTGAAAATTTCAAAATAAAACACTAAAATTTTTTTTTTCCATTTTTCCAATTTATGAAATTTTTGAATTCTGTTTAAATTTTTATTTACATATAACTTTTGACATATGATTGCAATATTCGTTGGAATTTTCAATGAAGGTTCACAATAGTTCGCTTATTGCGTTAGCAACACTCATTTTTCACTGGCCGATGTGTGTGTCCAGTATACATATACGGGCTGAGGTACAGAAAATAGTGTTGTTGTTTTGCGTACATTTCGGCCAGTATAGGCCAGCAACTCACTGTTTTTTTTGCCGTACTTGCGAGCTATCGAAAAGGCCTGATGTTTATCAAACGGACGAACTAAAAATTTACAAAACATTTCCCGTTTAAATCTTACTTCATTTTATAACAATAAATTATGTGAAAAAGGTGTATTTCTTTTAATTAAACTTATATGGCGCTTACACTGACCGAAAATGGCTCATTAAACCTTACAATATAAACAGAAAACAAATTTTTTACTTCGATTAAGTACTAATGATACAGAAATGCTAACTAATAATACGCATCATTGGTGAAGGATGCGTATTAGTGGCGAATGCGCATCCTCACGCATAAACAGATTTTTCGAAATTAAATTTTAAAAGTTAGCCTACACAGAGAAATACAATTCATCATTCACCATTTAAGTACTGTCGTATAAAAAAAAATTCGTAGTAGCTTCGGTTTTTGTTATTAATAATTACACATCAAAACGGTATTTAATGATATTATATCAAAATTATTTGAGAAGCTGTTATGTTTTGCACGCTCAAAAAGTTATTAAGAAAATATATCATTATATAAGAAATATTTAAAACTGTTTTCTTTTTATTTTATAAAAAAATTCGTTTCTACAAAAGTTTCGTTAACGAACAAAATAAAAACCTGTAAAATTCATATGAAAAAAGCAGTAAAAATTAAGAACTTATTGAATATATATTACATGATTAGCCAACTAAACGGATTTAAATGTTTATATATATATTTATCAAATTTTCTTTGTTACAACACATATTTTGTTTATATGATGCGATATTCTTTGATATTCTTTAAAACAAAGAATACCTTACAAGAACGGCAACTCCATTGTGAACTAAAATTTGTTTTTTCGCACAACAACAATTTGCCGTAGAGCTCTTGAAAGGGTTAGTGAAAAGTGCACTAACACCAGCTGAAATCATTGAAATTTTTCACCTTTTCACCTTTTTCCGATGCTTCGAGTACTTTTGAGAACTGAATATTTCAAAAAGTTTACCATGAAGAGTGTAAGAAAGAGTGTGGTTTTGTTTTTTGGTTTTGATTTTTTGAGAGTAATATAAAATTTCGTTGCGCCAAATCATACAAAATTTACTGCGCAAATATTTAACAAAAAGTAGTTAAAATTTTGCAAACACTTTAATAGCAGTTACCAAAAAATAGGTATAGCACAATTTTTATACCAAAAATTAAAAAATATACGTCCATATGTTTGCTGTCAAAACTGCAAAACAGACAGTATTTTAACTCTTTTTATAAGGGTACGCATGTATTTCCCGTTAAAATTTTTTAATAGGGTTCTGAATACACCTGACTATAGGCAAAAGCTCTTGCGTGTAACGCATTCAAAGGCTTAGTTTTCCACATGATATTCAGTTGACTTTTACATATAAATTAAATTTTTATTTTAATAATTTTTTTGCTTTTAGTTTATGTATATTTAAATTTGCAATTAATTTTTAAAAGTATTGTAATTATTATTCTGTTAATTTTGTATTTGTAAAAGTCTGTAAAAAATTATAACCAATATATAATGGTGGATATGCCTCTTGGGGAACCGGCACATAAACTCGGTAACGCACCTTTATGCATACCTCTTGGGTGGTGTGGAAAATGCATACCAAATCTTGAACTTTGGTCGAATAAACTACATAGCTAAATAAACTAAATGTAGAAATAGGAAAATACAAGGGATGTAAAAAATTTGTTATAGTTCTTTTTTTAAATTTCCACACAATAATGATGAAAGAAAATAAATTTTCATTTAAGTTCTATGCATATTTCTAATATAACAGTTTAGTGAAAGTATTTTACTATTTATTTTAAAATATTAGTAGGTGTGCATTTTATGTTCACATTGAGATAAAAATATTTAAAACATAAACATAAGGCGCTACATGATAATAATCATATCCCAAATAAATTTATGTTTTTAAGGTCATTTAAATTCTGAAGAAAATATTCATATATTCTATACATAATCAACACAAATAAAATAAATATGTTTTTAATTTTTATATTATGTAAAAATTTATAATATTCATCAAACAGATGAACTAAAAATGTATAGCATATATCTCGTTTAAATCTTGCATTAATTCTGGTAAATAATCAAGTCTATTTCATTTTATAACAATAATAAATTATGTAAACAACTTGTACTTCTTTTAATTAAACTTAGCTAATATTTTTAAATACTTTAGTATTTATATATAAATATATTTTATAATCATAATATAAAATTAAAATTTGTCAATATTAAAATTTAAAAATTGTTAAATTTTATATAAAAATATATCTTCATAAGAAAAACTCATAAATCCGACAATGAATGCGCATGCACCCACTCTTATCAATAGATTTTTCGCTACTGATCACACAGTAATGTACGTAAATTAATAATAAATATTATTCACCACATACATTTAGAGCGGATGCGCGCACATCCTCCCTTATCAACAGATTTATTGTTACTAATCAATTAGAAATGCATGCAAGGCAATAATACGTACCACACATTTAAAGATAATGCGCGTACACCCTTCCTCATCAACATATTTTTTGGCACTAAATTTAAAAATTAAGTCTTCGGAGAGAAACACAATTTATCATGGATCACTTAAGTGCTGCCGTATAAAAAAGTGAATTGGTAGTAGCTTCAATCTTTGTTATTAATTTCACATCAAAACGGTATTTAATGCTATTATATCAAAATTGTTTTTGAAATAATGTTTTACAGGCTCAAAAAATATATAAGAAAATATAACTCACTAAATAAGAAATATTCAAAACTGTTTGTTTTTATTTAATTAAAAAATTTGCTTCTACAAAAGTTTGTTGCCAAACATTATAAATTAAAATACTATAAAATTCATATGAAAAAAGCAACAAAAATTAATTTACTGAATATATATTACATGATTAAGTAAACTAAGCTGATTTAAATTAATTGATTCAAATTATTATATATTAATTTATAAATTTATTTATCATATATTATTTGTTACAGTATATATTTTGTTTACGTAATGTGATATTATTAACCAAATAAGGAAGCATAAGTTTTTTATATTACTAAAAAGTTAACATATGATTAGCAAGTAGCAGCAAACTATTATACTGCAACCCCGAAAAGAGAACAATTTGATGTTATCGTGGTAAGATCACATGTATTTAATACGTGTGCCGAAATGTTATAAAAAATAAGTTTTCAAAAACAATTTCAAATGCACTCTCACGAAGTGGGCGGAGTTTCCGTTCTTGTAAAGATATTCTTTGCTTTAAAATCAAAGAATTCGTTTAAACGAATTCTATTGTGAATAGTTTTGTAATTTACGAAATTGACAGATCTTATTTGAGTAAACTAAAATCACTGGAATTGAGAACTGAAGTTAATTTAATATAAACAAATTAAGGAATATCGAATAAGTGTTTTAATTTGTATTAACATAAAACCATCTTCTGATTTTTTTAAAATAATCTTTGGTGTTTTAAAACATGGAAACAGTACTTTTTGCAAATATCAAGAAATTGTATGATAATGAGCTTTATTCCTGTGTTATTCCAACGGTATAGTTATTTCAATATCAATTTGTTTTCATCTAATATTAATGTTTCAGGCAAGTCTGTTGAGTACTTTGTTGCAAAATGATCGCACAATTGCTACACCGGAGTTAGAATACCAGTTGTTACTTTACAGTGGCAATTCATATTACCAAGAAAGGCGGTACTTTCGGCTGGCAGCCAAGCAATTAGATGCGGCTTTATTACTACGTAAAGCTATGGTTCGTTGTAAAAATGTACATCTTCCATCTATAGAAAGTACTTATAATCACTTTAGCGAAGTAGAGACACGTTATCGTTTAGCTATATGTTATCGCGAAATGGGAGAACAAAATTTGGCAACTGCAGCATTACAAGCGGTGCCACAAAAAGCGCGTACTCCGAAAATTAATATGATGCTGGCTAATTTTTTACATTATAGTCGCTCTGCTAATACTTCTGAAGCGGTACTTTCATATAAGGATGTTTTAAGAGAATGTCCATTAGCACTAGATGCAATAGAGGAACTGCTAAAGCTAGGAGTTGATGGAATCGAAGTAAACTCACTTATTGTGAATGGTGTGTTTTGTTGAAAAATTTAACTAATAAATATACTTAAGTTATTTTATTTTTATTTTGTTAGCGAGTTGTGTGCCCAAAAATATAGAATGGTTAAGTAACTGGATTAAGGCGCATGCACAAATGTTTGGGCGCAAACATCTAGAAGCGTCCAAAACGTTTCAGTCTATTAACGAAAATACGAAATTTCATCAAAATGAACAATTACTTACTTTAATAGGAAAATGCTTATACTACCACGGCAGTTTTCCACAAGCACAACATTATCTAGAAACCGCTCTCATGATTAATCCTTATAGTATGGACGCTCTTATGCCGTTGGCTGTAGTATATGAATATAACCAAAAATTACAAGAGTTGGATAAATTAACTGCACAACTTACAAATATTAATGAATTTTCATCAGGTCATTGGTTTGTTCTCGCTCAGTGTTTTTATGGTGCAGGAAAATTGGAAAAAGCTTCTTCATTTACACATAAAGCCATATCTGTTGATTCTCGAAATACAGAAGCTTGGTTGTTACGTGGAAAAATTTGTTTGCAATTAAAGCGTCATAAAGATGCTATTTCCTTCTTTAGAGCGGCACAATGTTTGGCAAATTATAGATTTGAAGTATATAAAGGGCTTTTTCACTGTTATGTAGGTTTAAGGCGTCTAAAAGAAGCACAAACAATGTGTGCCCTAGCTGTTCGCTATTTTCGAAACTCACCAAGAAGTTATGTTGTATGTATCATGTGCTGTTAAACCAATTCTTGACTTAATACTGAATTCTTAGATGTTTGCTCGTACATTATTTCATTCAACAAATCCATTGGCTAAAAAAAGTGCGAAAAAGTTTGTATCAAAAGCATTGGAGATCGATGAACATTATGCGCCTGCTGTTGCTCTAATGGCTGAAGTCTGTCAAGCGGAAGGGGAAACACAGCAAGCAATTGCTATGCTTAAGAAGCAGGTAGTAAGTTATCCTCATCACAAGCTTTTTACAATGCTAGGTGATATATTAAGCTCTGAAAAAGATCTTAATGGCGCATTGGAGTATTACACAATTGCTTTAAGGTAGTTGTTTTGTTTTAACTTAGTTTCAATTTCTATTATTAATCCATTTTATAGCATGGAACCACAGTACCATAGAGCAGTAGATGGCGTAAATGCATTAGGACAAGCATCACGATCATCTGCGAAAGATAGTGACGCAATAAATAATTCAATGGCACAAGATGAAGAATGGCCTATAGAATGCGACGAGCCGTCCATGGAAGGAGTGGAGTTATCATCGCCAGCTATTGCCCATGATGCCGATGGCGAATCAGATACGTTTTCAGACCCATTTTGGCAAGATGTTGATGCTGAACTAGTAACTTAAACCAATGTATAAAAAAATAAAACAACTGTTTACTCTATCGATACTAGTATTTCACATATATTTCTCATGTTTATTTCACAACTAATATTCAATACTAATTTTTACTTTAAAAATTACTAACAATACGTTACACAAAATAAATCTAAGAATGGTATATTTGAAAATAATTGATCCAGACTCTTCCTTCCTTTTAAAAAAAGGAGAATCTACTGTTAACATCAATTAAGCACTTCAATCCTTGTTTCCATCGTCAGTCACTAGTTTTTCATCTGACTCAGCTGAAGTATTTTTTTTTGCTTTTATTTCTTTTTTGTCTTTAACTAACTTCCTGTACGCTTCTAGATCTTTCGTAAGTTGTGGTACAAAAGACTCGAACTCCAATTGCGACAAAGCATACAATATATTTGCAGCTGTTATCGTTTTGTGATTTTGTTTATGGGCCAGAGTAGTTGAAGTTGATGTGAGATAAATTACAAATACTGATGCAGCACGAGCAATGGCTTGACGAGCTTCTTTACTAACATTAGATCCCTCAGGTAAAGCATCTTTTATTAATCGCGCAACAACAGCATTAGGAAGATTTAAGTCTTCAATTCGCTCTACCATATTTTCTACAGAATTCCCGCTTAACAATTTGTGCAAATTTTCAAAGTCTTAAAACAAACGCAGTCTCGAGAACAAAATTGATTTCAAGTTGCCATATCAAAAAAAAATTTAATCAAAGAAAACCTTTAAAGAATGGAAACTATTAAAATATTGTGTAAATTTTCTTTTAAAAATCCATTTTCTACAGCACATTGTTTTGTCAACAATTGTGGTAATGTCATTCGCGTAAGTTCTTTTCAATTTTGTAATTTACAATGAAAATGACAGAAAACTCGAGTAAAATTTATTTTGTTCGAAGACAATATTAAATAAATCTGTTTATTTACGTTTTTCATATTGTAAATTTGTGTTCTTTCAACAATTTTATTTAATAAAGAAGTAAAAATATAAACCATCTCCAATCTACTTAAGGGAAAAAAATTCGAATGAGCTCTTAAAGAAGATGACATCCCTTATCGGCGATAAACATTTCTACGCGATTCCACTTTTGAAAGGAAATGTTCATGAAACAAAAATCCAAATAAATGACGAATTTAACTATAGAAAGATTATAAAGTTCTTTGATGCCAATAACAAAAGCTACTACACCTATCAGTTAAAAAGTAGCAAAGGTTTAAGTGTGGTAATAAAAGGTATAGAACATTTCGTACCGAAATCTGATATAAAAGCAGCATTGGCAGAAGCCGGATTCGAAACAAAGTCCATCTCTAATACTAAAAATAAAAATAAAATACCTCAACCAATATTTAAAGCAGAACTTGAGCCAAACGCAAAAAAACTCACCAAAGGAGAAATGCATCCAATTTACAATCTTCGCTATCTTTTACATCGAAGGATAACAGTAGAAGAACCCTTCAAAAAGAAAGATCCAGTACAATGCACTAACTGTCAATAATTTGGTCATACTAGAACCTATTGCACATTACCCAGTGTATGTGTAATATGCGGAGACCTACACAAATCCTCCATATGCCCAAAACCTAAGGAATAGGCAAATGCAAAAAAATGCAGCAATTGTAGCAAAAACCATACAGCAAATTATAGGGGTTGTACTGTATTTGTTGTAGTTAAGCAGAAAACTCTTCCCAAAAATCAATCAAGTAATGTGCCACCCAAAAATTACTTCTATGAACAAATAAGCATTGCCTTTAGTGAAAAAATAAATAGAAATAATAAATAGAACAATGACGACTCGAAATACGAATAATTAACGAAATCAATCGTTGACAGTTAACTGAAAATTTCGTATGTACTTCCAAAAATCGTTCACAATAGACGAATTTTTAATGTTGGTAACCATGTGATTTGAGTTGCTTATTAGTTACGCAATTTCAAGATGGTTGGACTAAATAATCCTGCATTGTTGTTGTTTCATTTGTTATTTTTAAAATAAGCAGTTGTTATTTTATGATATGCTTACCAAAGAAAAGCCTATAATAAACATTTTACAGATTTTATTACGAAACATTTCCCTTTCAAATCTTTTAGGCATTTAAATTAAAAAACTCTGTACTTTTATTCCCATTTTAACTATATATACACAAACAAAATTTTTTTTTATATTCGAACGAATGAACTATATTGGTGTGAACTAAAGAACTGCAATTAGTACTCAATACTCCAGTCATTGGTTGCATTTCACTTATTTTAACTATCTTTTTCGTATACTCAACTGCACTTAACTTATTCGTAAAACTAAATGTACATAATATAAATACTTGTACGTCAGGGTCGAAAAAAATCACCGCAGTTTACAATTTCTTGTAAAATGCTATTCATTTTTAACAGTTGTCAGTAAAGAAAATTTATATTTACACTGAATAAACTATATATTTATATAAATATATAAATATACATTTATATTTGCAACTAACTTAATGGTCAAGCGTCCATTAGTATTTAGTGCGTCTTCTCAGAAGCAAGAGAAAAAAATAAGTAATTACGTGTAAAATAATAAGTGCTTGCATTGATAACAAATTGGTAATGCTGAAGTACCACATTGGTAACCCCGAAAACAACAAGAAACGACATCAGTTATTTTGAGCCACCAAGTTGCAACATGAATATAGACAATGAACAAATGAAGCAGCAACTTGAACAGCAGCAACAGTCAATAAAACAACTATACTTATGGCATTCGAAGAATGTGCATTGATTTAGGACTTCGGCGCAACTTTAGCTGAAATAAACGGGGTACAAGCTCCCAATGGAGCAGAGCACTGCGACCAGATTGATCTTTTGTGCTGCAACTGACCCTAACCGAACAGAAGACATTCCGCTTTTCGAATGAAAGCCAGAATGTCGTCCGTTGAGGACCTCCTAATGTCAGAAGAGAGCAGTCCACCTCCCAGTCTCCTCCTCCTCGCCCAGATCAAGGCGGGGCAGAGAATGTGACTGGTACTCTCGTCTGCTTCTAAACAGAGTCGCCAATCCGTCTCCTCTGACAGACCCATCTTATTAAGGTGATAACGCAGACCATGGTGACCCGTTAAATATCCCGCCAGCAATCTCAAGTCTGATCTGCTAAGGAGGGAAGCCTTGCCATAACTATATGGGTGAACCAGCTCTTTAGTCGAAGGGTTACCTCGATTGTCGCGCCAGTAGCGATCTCTCTCGGCTAAGATCCATTTATCAATTAGATACCTAGTTGTAGACCAACGTAATTCACAATAGGGTTCCGGTCCACAGATTTGAGTGGCAGAACCTGCCCTTGCAACACTGTCGGCAGATTCATTATTCTTTACTCCTGTGTGACCAGGCACCCAGCAAAGCGTCACTTTGTTTTTGTTTGCTAGCTGCTGCAGCACATCGAAGCAGTCTAGTAAAAGCTTTGAGAAAAACCTCCAAGAGGATAGAGCTTTGACTGCTGCTTGACTATCTGAGTAAATACAGATGAGGACGCCTTTCAACCCGTAGTTTAAGTTGATACGAGCCCAGACCTCGATGGAGTGAACCTCCACTTGGAAGACAGTGGGCCATATACCCAGCGCTAGCGAGATTCTGGTGTTAGGACCAAATATTCCAGCACCAACTCCTTTTTTGGTTTTTGAACCATCGGTGAACCATGAAATCACTTCTGGTTCTGCTCCAGGAGTGCCATTTTCCCAGTCCAATCGATCGGGAATGAAGACTTCGAACTTTCTACCGAAGCGAAGTTCCATCTTAATGCGATCTGTCCTATCGTAGATTTCTATGCCAGGAACTAGTCTGCAGATAGAGTTTTGACTGTCAAGACTTCCGTGCATATTGATATCAGGGTGTAGCCTAGCTTCACTCAGGGCTGCTGTCCTTTTAATGAAGAGGTGCAGGGGGGTAAAACCCACTATGGACTCCAGTGCTGACGTGGGACATGTTCTAGTAGTTCCCGTCATAGCTATACATGCAAGTCTTTGCAGTTTATTACATTTTTGTATTGTAGCCTTTTGTTGTGCCTTGTTCCACCAAACAAGAGCTGCATAGGATACAATGGGTCTGACCATTATACGGTAGATCCATGAGAAAATTCTGGGACTAAGGCCCTAGGTTCTACCATATGTGTTCCTACATGTCCACATGACCCTTTCGCATATTACTGGAGTAAGGAATTGTATCACCGTCAAACAGTCCGTGGTCGAACCCATCTATCTTGATAAAAAGAAGACAGGTAGATGGAGGGTATATGTTGATTATCGCAAGCTGAGCGCCAGAACGAAACCCGACTGTTATCCAACACCGTACATTGATAAAATGTCAGAACGACTTCATGAAAGTGCAATATTCTCTAAGATTGACATTAATCAAGCCTATTATAACATTCCTATTAACCCGGAAGATATTTACAAAACTGCTGTCAGCACTCTAGTGGGAATGCTTGAATTTATCG